TCCGCGAGCAAGGTCGCGCACGGCCTGCAAGCCGCATCTTTTCCGGGCCCGAGGACGGACGGTCGAACGGACGAACCTCGAGGAGGGCGAACCTCGAGCCACACCGGAGGGGCGGAGCCGGCGGCGCCTCGAGCCTCACCGGAGGGGGCGGCGCCTCGAGCCTCACCGGAGGGGGCGGCGCCTCGAACCTCACCGGAGCCTCAAGCCTCACCGGAGCCGGCGGCGCCCCAGCCACACCGGAGGCTCTGCGCCTCCGGTGTGGCTGGGGGTTGGGGAACCTCGCGCCGGGGGGAAGCCTCGAATCACACCGGAGCGGCGAGCCTACGCGTCTCTTACCTGGATGGCAGTTTAGACATCTGCCGCCGGGTGGAGCAAAGAACCGAATCACTGCCGGGTGGGTTTAGAAACGCCTTCAAAAAGGCGCACCCTCAGGAATGAGCGAGCTCAGGCAGCGAAACTCAAGCCGCCTAGCTTACCTGGATGGCTGTCCAAGCGCCGAGGGTAGCAGGACCGCCACCGCGAACGGAACCGCGGGCTGGTTCCTCAGAAGTAGTTCTGTGTGAGAGATGGTAATTCACCTTTAAAAAGGCGCCCCTCAGGAATGAACTCCTTAGAGCCAGAGACGTAATATGCGAGTACGACAAGCATTGGCAGTAAATTAATCGTCACAACCTTTTCCAGTCAAGGTGTCACATCAAATTCGAAATTATCACATTCGGTAACAGCAAACTGAATCAAATACGAGTGAAAAATGACACATTCATAACAATGACTAAAAAAAATGACATAATAAAAGCAATGACTAAAGAAATAACGTACCTAAAAGAAACATTTAAACACGATTTACATACTTCGTGGTGCCGCAATGATTGCTGGGAAGTGGAAGTATACAGTTTCCTGCTAAACATTCCGCGAGCGTATGCTGGAATACACGAAGACAATTCAAATGTAGAAATATGTACAACTTCAAAAACTTCTTAAAATACATGGTGTAGATTGGAAAAAGTGGCAGAATGTCATTTAATTTTTTTCCAGAATATCAAGTAGAAAGGAACGAGAGTGGAAGCCATTTTATATTTCATGTGACGTCAAATCAAGAGCACCCAACATGCTTTGCGGCATTAAGAATCGCGTCTAAATGCATGTTTTGTGACAATTATTTTCTTATTTGTTTTGGATACATTATTTATTCAGTCGTTTTTTTCTCTCTTTTCATCATCAGCTCAGATTGATTTCAGTTTGCTTTCATAAATTTCGTTGTTAATGTAGTACCGTGATTGTACTGGAAGTTCGGATTGGAGGGGTGCGACGGCGCGGCGTCTCCACCGGAGGGAGACACTTTCAAGCCTTCGGAGAGTGTCGCTTTGTTTTTTGCAAAATAGCTCCCACCATCCTTTGCGGCACTTAGAATCGTGTTTCAATGCATGTTTTGTGACAATTATTTTCTTTTGTTTTGGATACATTACTTATTCAGTCGTTTTATCTCTCTTTTCATAATCAGCATAGATCGATTTCATTGCAAAGCAACAAAAGCACCTGACTCATTCAACAGCTGTGATATGACACGACATATTCTCCTGACAAGGAAAAAAAATGTCCAATCACATTTTATTTTGAAATTCCCAAATCTATGTGAATTGGTGTACTGCAAAAGAAAATTTTTATTTTTGTTTTTAAGCTTTGATGTGTCCTCTACAGTGGACAACCGAACCGATACAGGGGAAACGCAACTTCATTCTGAAACAGTTAGTCCAATGAAAATATCAAAAAGTCAACTTGACAATGTGCTCAACATAAACATAACTGTCAATCATCTCTTTTCTTTTGTTTCACTTTTGCTTCATGATACTTGAAAAAGCAATTTCCTTTCTTGGAAACACAAACGAATAGCAGTGTTTCAGAGGACTGCAAAGATCATAGGCGATCTTGCAGTCCTCTGGAACCCACTCAATAAAATCATTGGCTCCACTTCCAAAAATGGACGAGACACACACACATCACATGTTTACCACAACTGCGCCAAATTCATCACACCAGGTCAACCTAAACAAAGTAAACTCCGTTTAGGGGGTCATGCCACGGATGGATTTGTCGATTGGACGAAGTATCCGACGAGCGGCGTTTTCCCATTTGCATCGCAGACGGCACAACAACGGTCTCGTGTCATCAGATCAAAGCGAACATCGAAGTTTCCTCTTCAGCAGCTCTCTGGATCAAGAAAATCAAAAGCACGACAATGTTTTCTGATCCGCATCGATACGCAAACACGCGCGCAGAGATGTATTTTGGTGACTTGGCGAAGCAATCGACTGAGCTCAGTTGCTGACGCCCCAGCGTCCCCCCGCCACGACAGCCAGTGAGCCACCTCCTAATAATTAGCTGTAACTTTCCAACAAGTCGCGCTCAAAGTAAACCACACCCAGTCGAATACGTGCAATTCAAATATCTTTTGAGGCAACGTTAGAACAGCTGAAAAACAAGACGTGCGTTGGAGATGGGCAAAGGGACCCGTGCGGAGCTGTGAACGGGTTTCCCGCTCCAAACGCAACGGCTCGTAAATCAACGCGGGTCTTTCCGGCCCGTGTGTGGAACCTTGCGGTCGAAACTTGTTCAGACCATCACAAAGGAAAAGTGGAAATCGTCAAAACCCAACTGCATACTTGGAAGAGTCAATACGAACATTTTGGATCAAAGTGATATCATTAAAAAAAAAAAAAAAAACCTCACCCACGTGTGACATAACATCGAAAATGAATGTGGGTCATTTTAGACCCATGTCGATCCGTCCGAAGGGTCGTGATGGAAAAATGTTTCCGATTCAAAAAGTAAGAAAGGAAAAAGATCAAATCATTGTGTATGATGATCAAAAACGAGTGACTTGAGGAAGACCTTGAAGACCAAATGATGAAACGAATTGATCCAAAGGAAAAACTTTCGCGCCATGTTGCGGACCGGAGCGCAGCGTGTCGTCGATTGGAAGCCGCGTGTGCCGGCGTGTCGTGTGCCGCGTGTGCCGGCCTCACCTCCGCGGGCACCCACTCTCTGACCACCTCGGGCTCGTTGATGATGCTCCTGGCCTTGCTGGCGTACTTTAGCGTGATTCGCGTCTCCTGCGGGCAACGCAAATGCGCGCTCGAGATCCTCATCTTTGCAATGATGTCGTTTGAAATCAGATGAGCGATTATGTAGAGTTGAAGGCCCAAAAAAATGACACCAGACCAGTGTCTGGATGGACGCCTCCTTTGCCAACTGGTGGACTCAATGACCTGGAGTCCAAGTCCATGTCGTCTCCATCTCAGTATTTTTTTTTTTAAACGCGGTGGGACAAACGCACCTCAAGGTCACTGGAGAACTGCGGCACGGTGGCGATGATGGTGGTCTTGGTCGTCCCTCCCAGCGAGTCTCGCAGGAAGCGCGTCAGGTTGGACCCTCTACAGCAATTTGGTCAACAACCGGGTCAGCTCCGCCATCGGCGTCTGTCGTCGGCGTGCGCGTGCGGGCGCTGCACCTGTACGGGACGTGAGGCCTCTTCTCCGCCAGAGCCGTGATGACGCGGCCCAACGCCACGAGCGACTCGTGGATATCTTGCGCCTCCTCCGCCCGCTCGTCCGGCACCCGGTAGCGCCCGAAGTTCTCGCTACTCGCCAGGTCCACCTGCACCCGACGCAAAGCCACAACGTACGACGCCAGCGGCAAGCATTGCAAAGCATTGACAAATTTGAGGAAAAAAATTTTAAAAACGGAGTCTGAGGACTCGGGCACGTGCGTCGACACTTGTCCGGTCCCTTTGTCCTCACGAGGGTCGCGGGGGGGCGCGGCCTAACCCAGCCGTCTGTCTGCCGGAAGTCGGCGGGGGACCCCCACACCGCG